GCAGCAGCAGCAACAGTCGCAGCAGAATCAGGCTATGCTCCAGCAGCAGCGTGCGCAACAACGACCGGGTGGCAACGCTTCCCTGCCTGACGATCTCAATACTCTCTCAGCTCAAGAATATGAACATGTCTGTCGGATAGCCAACCAGATCCTTGCCAAAACGCCCCAGGAAGATATGGAGAAGATTCGCATGAACCTACAGAATATGACACCAGAGCAAAGACAATACCTCACCCGAAAGAACATGGATCCAATCACATACTTCTTCCGCTGCCAGGCTTTGAATCAACTCAGAAGACATAAACGAAACCGCATGGAAATGGCACGAGCGCAGAGCGCAGGTGTCGACCCTAACGCGGCCATGATGACAGATCCCATGATGAATCCTCAGCAGCGGCAAATCTTTCAGAATATGATGACCTTTCAGCGCAACTCGGGGTTTCCCATGGGCAACCAACAGAGTCTTGATCAGACGTCCTTCATCGGCAATGTCGAGAACATCCAGGGCCAGCAAGCGGATGGGTTGCGTTCACAAGAAGCAGGTCAACTCGTGGTGCCTGCCAGCTCTTCCCAAATGAATCAACCGCCATTCTCTGCTCCTCAGAACATGTTCCAAGTGGGCCAGCAGATGGGTCAAGGAGGTCAGGCCAACCTCAATGGCGCCTCTATCAGCCCTCAATTTCTCGCAGCACAGCACCTGCAGAACCCCCAAACCGTTCAGCAGGATAGAAATCAGCAGGCAGCACAGTTCCAACCTCAACCCCAAGCGCAGACCCAAGCACAAGCACGAGCTCAAGCGGCCCAGAAAGCGCAAATGGCGATATCATCGCAAGCAGGCCAGGCTAATCCACAGATGCAGCAACAACTATCTCAAAGTCCCGCTATGCCGATGTTGAACCGCCCCATGCCACCCGGGCAGATGTCCCCAGTGCAGGTGGCCGCTCAAGTTCGGCCACCGTCGCGGCCTCCAGGGATGGGACAACAGCCCAATGGCGTGCAGGGTCTTGCTGGACAGCCCGGAATGCAAGGCCGACCCCAGATTCCTCCTGGTCTCCCACCCGCGGCACACGAACAGCTGGCTCAAATGACCCCTGAACAGCTTAATGCTTTTCTTCTGAATCAACAGCGTCGTGCTCTCGCAAACAACCAAGCTCTCGCAAGAGCAAATGCTGGTCAGCAACCGTTGCCCATGCAGCAGAATATGTCGCAAGCCGGTCAGAATCAGCAGATGGTGAACAATCAGATGGGCAATAATCAGAATATGCGAGCTCTCGGACTGCAACAGCAACTCGCCGGAATGAACGGTGCACAAATACCCAATCAGATGCTCGCGGGACAGCAGATGTCGGCTCAGCAGCGGCAACAACAACAACAGCAACAGAGGCAGCACGACTTGTACAAGCTTCAGCTTCTGCGGCAGCAAAGTGGGAGCATAGAGATGACGCCTGATCAGGTCAAGGAGATGGATCGCATCCAGTTTCCTCCTGCGATCCTTGCTAACAACCCGAATATGGTTTCCCCAGTCCCGAAGCATATCAAAACCTGGGGTCAATTGAAACAATGGGTGGCTGCAAACCCACAAGCTCTCGGGGGAGTTGATTTGCAAAAACTCATGACTTTGCAGAAGCTACATCTTGCCCAGATTGTAGCTCAGGGCAAAGAAGGAGCCGTCCGTAACATGGACCAGAATGGTCAGGGCAACTGGGGGCAGATGATGTCCTTCCAGGGTCAGCCTCAGCCGTTTGTGAATCCACAAGCGTTCCAGGCGGGCCAGCAGCAGGTACCAATGAACATGCCAGCATTGCGGCCGATCACCGCCACCGAAATTCAAATGGCTCGCCAGCGCTTGGGTGCTCAAGTGGCGAACTACACCGACGACCAGCTCCGCGAAATCATCCTGCGGAACAGGCAAAAACAACTGATGCAGGTGGCCCAGAACCGAGCAGCCCAGGCTTTGGCCGCGCAGAATATGAACCAGAACCAGCAGAATCAGACGGTGCAACAACCTCCGTCGACCGGGCCTTCTACCACTTCTCAGGCCAAGCAGGGTTCTCAGCAGCCTACCCCCCAGAAAAACCAACAGAACCAGCCTGCCAAGGCTCAAAATGCGGCGGCTGCGAAGGGCACAAAGGGCTCCGCTCCCAAACAAGGCACCAAGCGCAAATCAGTCACTGAAGAGCCCGCAGAGGCCCAAGCAGCACCGGTCTCAAAGACAGCCCAGCCAGCTACTACTCAAGGAGGAGTATCGGCGCCGCCTACTAGACCAAATATGGCTATCACGCCCGAGCAACTGGCTGCAATGACCCCTCAACAACGTATGCAGTTAGTGCAAATGCGCAGACAACAAGGTCAACAACGTGTTCCGATCAGTCGAGCAGCGGCAGAGGAAGCATGGAACAATCTACCTGAGAAGATCCGACAACTCTACAACGATATCGCGAAGAATGCTCCTCCAGCGGACCCTATTACCGTTTCGCCTGACCAGAAAGCTACCATGACCCAACAACTTCGTGAATGCACCGACATGCTTGGTAGAATGGACACTCTTGCCCAATGGTTCTCGAAGATCCCCGGCCAGGAGAAGAACGTTCGCAGTTTACTTGCAATGGTATGTCCGCAGTCGTCCCTTGACTCCGCTCCTCCCGGAATTTGCATACTGACTCAATTTTGACGTAGCGTATACAATTAATGAGGCAATTTAAACCCGGCCCGGATTGGACGCTCAATGACCAGATCACTATTGCCCCCGAGTATCTTACCGGCACCATCAATTACATCAGGAGGCTTTTCCACGCTATGATCGCTCGGGTGAATCAGCAGCAGAATCAGCCTTCAGGTCAGCGGCCGAGTGTGTCACACGGGTCCTCTACCATGCCGCAGCCCAACCAAAACAATATGCCTGCTCTGAACGCAAGTAACTTGCAGCAGCTTCAACAACAGGAAGAGGCTCTCCAGCGAGCCCGAAGAGCCTCGAGCCAGGCTGCTTCGGCAACCTCTGCAGTGCCGCAGCCACCTTTTGGAGCACCATCGCCCCAGGGAGTCCCGCACGCTTACGGCCCGGGAAGCATTCCACCCGAGAAGTTGAAGATTCCTCCTTCGAAGAAGAGAAAGCAGTCTCACCCTGGTGGGACTCCCACCCAAGGTCAAGCCCCTGGCACGCCAGTCTCGAAGTTTCAGGCGGCTAAGCAGGCCGTGCCTGACGCGAAAACGGCTACTCCAGTCCTGGGAGGCCCATTCAAGTGCAGCGTCGTTGAGTGTCAGCATCACCATCTCGGGTTCGCGACTCAGGATGCACTTGACAAACATATCGAAGAAAGCCACAAGGTGGAGGAGCCGATCAACGATCCTCTCGAGTTCGCTATTGAAAGCTTCCGCACTAGCCTTGTGAAGGATGAAGGAGCACAACCTCAAGATCTCAAGAAGGACCTTACTACCGCCGGTGTGGTTCCGTCTTCCGCAAAGCATGAAGTCAAAGGCGAAGCAATTGCTCCTAGTACTACAGGTGTGGGTCGCGCGCCCGGACCGGCCGGCGCTAAGCCCGCTTCTCCTGCCTCGATTCAGCAGACTCCTCGTACAACTGCGGCCAAAGTTCCCACCTCGTCGGCGCTCAAGCCAAGCCCGAGCAAGGATGGTAAGAAGGAGGCCGTCAAGCCGGTGGATCTTGCTGCACCTCCTGCTGCGGTCACCAAGGATCCTTGGGCAGATAGCACCATTTCTCTCGAGACAATTCAAGATACATTTATGGATTTCAGCGGCGATTCCGGCTTTGGCTTTGGATCTATGGACGAGTTCATCAACCCGGACATGTTCGCCAATGCCCAGTCTGAGGATACTCCTGACTCTGTCGAAACTGGCGTTGCTACGCAGACTCCAAAGGATAGCGAGGTTCCCAAGATCCAGGATGCTAGCGGCAAGCTCGATGTCTCTGAGGATAGCTGGATCCCAATGGACTGGGTCAATGTTCCTTCTCGTTTTGAAGACGGGCTCGTGGTTAACGACTCCTGGGAGAATTTCGACTGGGATGCTGCTGACCTGAAGGACGGGACCATGACTATTGACGACAATGGCATTGCCATCTATGCCATGTAACAAAGTTGGCACTTCGCCGCTGAAATGCGCGATATTCATTTACCTGGCGTAAATAGGAATGATTTATGTGTACATTAAGGTACGGCCTGAGAACGGGAGGCTCCGGTTTGTTTTCTACATTCGGCTTTATCGTTCTGGGTATCCCACATGGTCCTGTGGGTTTTGATTTCTGTTTCATTGTGCCATTTTCATCTTGTTGATCTGGTTAGATTAGCCATGGTGTTATCTGGAGTGAGCAAAATGGGAAAAGCGAGGGGGACTTTATGTCAATTGTCTAGATAAGGGAAGACTCGAGAGCATTCCTGGTGAGAAATATTGGGTACTTGCAATAATCATCCTAATATTATGACTTTTATCCAGTTCAATCTGGTGTGCTCCCAATCATGTGCCTAGGTCATGTGCCTAGGCACCAAGGCACTGCCAAGCCCAGACTCCGGCTGATCAGCTGCTGATGTAAGCACGCTGATAGATGATAGGGAGCTGATAAGCCTCCATCACTGACGCACTCAACTCGCCTCCGCCCTTTGTTCTCTTCATTGACCCCCTCATCTTTTGCCCAGAATGGATGCTCAATAACTGATTGTGATTTGACCTTTTGTTTTCTGGTCTCTGAACTTCGCTGGATCGATCATCTCGGAGATCAAGCCTCGATTATCTTTTTTGAGTCCGCGTTGTCATTGTCGAACTGGCTCCTAGCTAGCTAGCTATCATCTTAGAAAGCTTTGCATATCGTATACGCAGTACACACTTCTTCTGGTTTATGGTGCAAGATGGCTAGTCAGGCTGTGATACCGTTTCTGGTCACGATGATGCTCGTGACCGGGGTCTGCAATACAATCCTCAATAAGTATCAGGTCTGATACCAGGAGTCGTCCTGCTCCTTATCTCTAGCTAATGTCATTTGAAAGGATATGCAATGTGTACGAAACTGCGACTCTCCAGACCCTAAATATCGGCATACGTTCGAGCAGCCGGTCATTCAGACGTGGGTTTCCGCCATCCTGTATCCACTATGTTACAGAGTCGACGCTAATTTAATATTGCAACGATGATAGTGTTCAGATGTTTATTGGAGAAATGGGCTGTTGGCTTGTGATATTCGCCTCATTTGTTTACCAATCGTTTATATATCCGCGTCTGTCGCCCAATTCTTCGCCTCTTCTGGCGGGCGGATATAATCCCGTCCACGCCGATGACATAGGTGATGAGGAGGACCATACGATTGACGGTCCTGATGCATCCAACCATACTCCCAAGCACACCGATGCGGAAGGTCGGGTACACCTCAGTGGACGTCGGATTCTACTTCTCGCTGCGCCGGCATGCTGCGATATCGCGGGTACGACTCTGATGAACGTGGGTCTGCTCTTCGTCGCGGCCAGCATCTACCAGATGACGCGTGGAGCATTGGTTCTCTTTGTCGGCCTTTTCAGTGTTCTGTTCCTCCGTCGTAAGCTGTTCTTATACCAGTGGATTGCACTGTTCGTGGTGGTCCTTGGTGTCGCCTTGGTTGGACTTGCCGGTGCACTCTTCGGCCAGGACCAAGGCCATGATATCTCACAGGAGGATACTCTTGCAATTGCCACTCGGGCTGTGATGGAAGCTCGGGAGATTGCGAAGACTCCTGAAGCGATCAAGGCTGTCATCGGTGTGCTGCTGATTGCAGCGGCGCAAATCTTCACCGCCTCGCAGTTCGTGCTGGAGGAGTGGATTCTCGAGAACTACGCCATGGACCCTCTTCAGGTCGTTGGCTGGGAAGGCGTGTTCGGTTTCTCCGTGACTGTCATTGGTTCCATCGTTCTCTACCTGACCGTAGGACGGACGGAAGCGGGTCGTTACGGCTATTTTGACGCCAAAGAAGGATGGCATCAGATCCTGTCTAACAAGTACATCGCCATATCCAGCGTCTTGATTATGATTAGCATTGGGTACGTGCTTGCCCAAGATCCCTCTCTTTGTCTTATGCACATTTCCGAGTACAAGAGGCTAATCTGTTATTCTCTCACAGAGGCTTCAACTTCTTCGGCCTTTCGGTCACCCGAACCGTGTCTGCCACCTCCCGCAGTACGATCGACACCTGCCGGACACTCTTCATCTGGCTTGTTTCGCTCGCCCTCGGCTGGGAAACATTCAAGTGGCTGCAAGTCCTCGGCTTTGCGCTTCTCGTTTACGGCACCTTTTTGTTTAATGATATCATCCGTCCCCCTCTCAAAGCATGTCTTCCCCGTGACAGGCGGGAGAGGGAGATTCTGCTGCCCGAGGAGCCCATCGAGCACATTTAAGTCACGCGTGTCGTTGAACTGCATCACTACTTGCTCTTGGTTTCCTCGTTTAAGACAATTTTGGCTTGGTTCGGGCGTTTGACGGTGTTGTTCAATCTGGTTGCTTCTATTCTCGAGCTTAGGTGTGCCGCGCATTGAGTTTGGTTGATAGAGACAGTCGTCGTCGACACCCCCAGTGTATGTCATACGAGACCGATGATTTTTGTGTCAAACCGAGGTTTTGGGGACCGTATGCCCCTTCTATCCAGCTAGGCCTTGATTACGACCGGAATAAGAGGTGGGTATCATTTCCATTGTCAATTATAAGACTGTACTACGAATTACAATCTATCAGTTGGGTACACTTCGTACACTTTCAACAAGAGGGTATATAACCAATTCTACTACATACACTATAGTACAAGTAACTGAAAGAGCCGCCGTTCTACCGCCCCCAATGTATATCATTCACATCAAACCAGGACATACAGAGCACACATCTAGACAACGTCAGCGAATGCATCAACAGGCAGGAGTGGCAAAACTCACCATCGACAGACCAGTTATCATAGATAGCCAGAAGAAGACGTTCTGTACATGTACAACACAAGACGCAGTTAGCAAGCCGAGTCCATAATCGAGAAGAACAGGAGACGCACGTTAAGAGTCCTCTTCCCCCGCAGGAATCGCGACCGCTGGACGGCCACGATGGGCATCTGGAGCATCATGGCTAGGAAGCCGTAGCCGCGCAACTTCTTGGTGATGCAGCCCATGACGAGCTCGTGGAAGACGGAGCTCACGAGGAACGTGATGAACATGGCTACGGGCTGGGAGAAGTATGACAGCGAAGGGAAGTAGACGTGGCGGCGGAGGAAGTGGTGAACGGGGATGTTCCATTCGCGGGAGAATTCGAGCCTGTACCACTCATTGGTTAGATTGCGTCGTTGTAGCCCGGCGGGGGCGGCTGTAGGATACGTACCAGTCAGAGGAGTTCCACCAGTCCGAGTAGAACTGGCGGTCGGCGAAGCAGGTGATCTCTGCGAATGCGCCGAGCACGTACTCGAAGATGACCAGAAAGACTAACAGGAATGTGATCATGAATGGGAACAGGAGCATGCTGATGGTCTCGGCCAGGATCAATGCCTTTTCGGAGGCGCCGTGTACCAGGTGTAGTTCGGCACTGGCCTCGCTCAGGACAGGCACGATAAATTCCTCGCTCGTCAGGGTTAGGAGGAAGATGCAGCCGAAGACCGCCAGAGCTTTGGCGGCCAACTCAGTCCATTGTCTGTTCTTGTTCCGAGGGTATTCCAGCTCATAGCAGAGCGTCGGGCAGAAGATGTAGTCGAGGTAGTTGGTGAGGGAGAGGTTCTGTGGATAGGTCACGCGTCCCAGGGGTGAAGTTAATTCAGACGCCAGATCCTCGCGCAATTCGGTGACCGATTTAGATCGTGTACGGCCGCTATGCGGGTGTGTCGGGTGTCCGCGAGGTTCCGGGTCTGGGTATCGGACCGCTGCATCGAGTGAAACCGAGCCAGGTTTATCTAGTGAAGCCAGTCGACGCTCCGTTTCGCTCAGATGTCCATTGTAGAACGCATATGAATGCATCTTCATGAGAAAGACAAGGGTATGTAGAGTCAAGAAAACTTGGGCTGTCCAGGTCCAGCGCATCATAAAAGGCCAGCTAGAGACTTTATTAGATTCCAGGTATCCGGCTTGAGCTTGGCGCACTCACTTGATCCACAGCACAAGCCATGTTGCTTCGAAGAGACTCTGCACAATCATACCAGCGCGCCCCCACCGCAGCAAACCGTTGCTCCTAAACAGATGATGTAGCGGCACGACGAGCCCACTGCTGACAACCATCGCGAGGTCGCTGAGGCCCAATTCCCACACGTTCGCCGACAGCAGACCCCACATCCTCACTCTCAATGGGGAACCAGTATCCTTGATATTCCGGAGCACAGTCGTGACCACCATGATAAACAGCGCAATCCAGAACAGGGTGAAGAAGCCGCGGAAATTGTGATGGTCGCTTCTGGGGTCGAAATGCGATACGCGAGGAGTATAATTGATGGTGTAGAACAAGCGAGTCCGAGCTCGCGCCTGTTTTCTGGCGGTAGATATCGAATGTACTGAGGGGGGCGCATCATCGGCGATGGGGGTTGAGCGACCACTGATCCGAAGAAGTTAGCACAAGTTTCAGTGCATTTTCTCTTTGATGTAAGTCCTGCCAACCTTGAATCAACAGATGCGATTCTATCTAAAGTAGGTGTCACAACACCCTCCTCGGCCTTTTTCACAGCGCGCGCGCGTGGCAACCCGTTGCCATTGCGCTGTAAGACGGCAGTGGACATCCTGATGACGAGGGCCAAGAGTAACGAAGTTCACATCGATATTGTTCCCACATCAACCGCAAAGGAGGTTCTGAGGAAGTTATATATGATAAGAGTTCGGAACCTGAAGGAAAGAGGAATTGACGATATGTGTCATGTGTATTGTTTGTGGATCCTACCATCAACCACAGTTTGAGAGTCGGAACTTGAGTAAGACTGATGATCTGCGCAGGGACCAACGACGGACGGAAAAGGAGGAATTCTTTCACATCAAAGTAGCGGATCGACCGGAGTTCCAAGGCACAGCAGGGCAACGGCAGTGTTCTGAAGCCGGAATAGCTCTGCCCCCATGGTTTATGGTTTAGAGGGAGATATCTATACGGATACGATATGGAATTATGGATATATGGATGGATCCAACGCGGCTCACGTCATCGCTTCATAGCCATCATCATAATATTGTTGATCCTTCGTAGTAATCGGAACGGAGCCGCGACTCGACCGAATTCCGGTATTATGTTTACAATACGTGGTATTGATTGTTTCCTGAGGGCTGAGGCATCCAAGTTGATGCCTTACTTCCTAGGCTGCCACATGGAGAGCTTATCACGAGAGGACCCCACGTGATCCAGTCAGGGCACGAGGGACGCTAAGCCCAAACAAGAGGCTGCCAAGAGTGCCAGATCGAGCAAAGGACGGGCGAGGCTCGACATGCTCCCTTAGAAGGGCAGCTATCACAATATTGTCCAAGAAAGTCATCCTCTCGTTCGATTTCGGGTAGTGCGCAGACAGGTTTCTTCGCAACCCCTCTCTTCTTCTTAATTTCCCTGTCTTCCTCCGATCGTCGCAACCCCTACATCCTTTTATCTTCCTCCCCGTTCGGGGGTCCTTGCGACCGCCATGACATCCCGTATGTGTTTGCCCTCCGTGAACCCCCCACCCCCCTTCTCTGAGCTGGCAAATGAATCACTAACCGATTTGTCGCCGCACTTGCGGGCTCGAAACAGTCAAACAATTTATCCGGAATGTTCGATCGGCCAAGACGATTGCCGATGAACGAGCAGTGATCCAAAAAGAAAGTGCCGCTATTCGTGCGTCGTTCAGAGAAGAGAGCCATGATTCGGGAGTCCGGTCAGCATTATACACCATACACCAGCACCTTGTGATTTCTGCCGGACAACCATCTCATACATGATGCTTGCAGGAGAAACAATGTCGCCAAACTACTCTATCTTTTCACCCTTGGGGAACGAACACACTTTGGTCAGATCGAATGCCTGAAACTGTTGGCGTCCCATCGATTCGCCGACAAGCGGCTGGGGTACCTGGGTACCATGCTGCTGCTGGATGAGAATCAGGAAGTGTTGACCTTGGTGACCAACTCATTGAAGAAGTGGGTCTTTGTCTCGGCAACTGCTTGCTGCTTTGCGGAGTGTCCTGGCTGACAGGATTCAGTGATCTCAACCATTCCAACCAATATATCGTCGGTCTCGCGCTATGTGCCCTGGGCAACATCGCTTCCGTCGAGATGTCTCGAGATCTGTTCACCGAAGTCGAGTCCCTCCTCTCCACAGCCAATCCCTACATCCGGCGGAAGGCAGCATTGTGTGCCATGCGTATCTGCCGTAAGGTTCCAGACTTGCAGGAACATTTCCTCGAGAAGGCCAAGGCCTTGTTGTCGGACCGAAACCACGGCGTGCTACTGTGCGGCTTGACCTTGGTAATAGACATGTGCGAGGCCGAGGAGGCCGAGGAAGGGCAAGAGGGCGTGATTGAGATGTTCCGGCCCTTGGCCCCCGGTCTTGTCCGTGCCTTGAAAGGACTGACGACCTCCGGTTACGCTCCCGAGCACGATGTCTCGGGCATCACGGACCCGTTCCTTCAGGTCAAGATACTCCGCTTATTGAAAGTCCTCGGAAGAGGGGATGCGGCAACCAGCGAGTCGATCAACGACATTCTGGCCCAGGTGGCTACCAACACCGATTCCACCAAAAACGTAGGCAACGCTATTCTTTACGAGGCCGTTCTCACCATTCTTGACATCGAGGCCGACTCTGGTTTGCGCGTCTTGGGTGTCAATATCCTTGGAAAATTCCTCTCCAACAAAGACAACAACATTCGTTACGTTGCGCTCAATACCCTGAATAAGGTGGTAGCGATCGAGCCCAATGCTGTTCAGAGACACCGCAACACCATCCTGGAATGTCTCCGTGACCCGGATATCAGCATCAGGCGACGAGCCCTCGACCTGAGCTTCATGCTGATCAACGAGTCGAACGTGCGTGTCCTCGTCCGGGAACTGCTCGCTTTCTTAGAGGTTGCCGACAACGAGTTCAAGCCAGCCATGACAACCCAGATTGGTATCGCTGCTGATCGATTCGCCCCTAACAAGCGCTGGCACGTCGACACCATTCTGCGTGTCCTCAAGCTGGCCGGTGCGTACGTCAAGGAACAAATCCTGTCGTCGTTTGTGCGCCTGATCGCCACCACGCCGGAGTTGCAGACGTACTGCGTGCAAAAGCTCTACACATCCCTGAAAGAGGATATCTCTCAAGAGGGGTTGACGCTTGCGGCAACCTGGGTCATTGGTGAATATGGTGATAGCTTGCTCCGTGGTGGTCAGTATGAGGAAGAGGAACTCGTCAAGGAGGTCAAGGAAAGCGACATTGTTGACCTCTTCAACAATATTCTCAACAGCACATACGCGACGCAGACTGTGATTGAGTATATTACGACGGCATCGATGAAGCTCACCGTGCGCATGACAGATCCTGCGCAGATAGAGCGTCTCCGCCGTTTCCTCAACAGCCGGACCGCCGATCTGAGCGTGGAGATCCAACAGCGAGCGGTCGAATATACCAACCTATTCGGCTACGATCAAATTCGCAGAGGTGTGCTGGAACGGATGCCACCTCCCGAGATCCGCGAGGAACAGAGGGTCCTTGGTGCTCCCTCCAAGAAGCGCCAGAGTAAGCTTCTCAAAGACAAGTCGAAGAAGCCTGCCAAGCAGGCCGAGCAGGATCTGCTCGTCGATCTCATGGGCGGCGCCGATGTTCCAGCAACGAGCCCGACGGCCAACGGTTCTCAAAACACCGCAGACCTGCTCGCGGACATCCTCGGTGGAGACTCTGGCATCTCTTCGCCCGCTTTCCAGGCCGCACACGCACCTGCCCAGTCCGTCAACACGAGCGCCATCATGGATCTGTTCGGTTCATCAAACGGAGCTACCCCCTCACCACGCCCAGCGGAGCCGGCATCCGCATCTGTGGATATACTTGGCGGACTCGGATCCGCCCCATCCCCAGCCCCATCACCGTCGGCTGCGGCGGTTCATACGGCATACAACAAGAACGACCTTACTCTTACCTTGCAAGTGCAGCGGGGCGGTAACGGGAATGCACAGATCCAGGCCCGATTCCGCAATATCTCAGACTTTAGTCAATTCTCCAATGTCGGGTTACAAGCTGCGGTGCCCAAGAGTCAACGGCTTCAACTTAGCGCGATCAACAAATCTGAGCTTTCTGCGGGAGACGAAGGCGTGCAGATGCTAAAGATTGCAGCCCTCAGTGGTGTAAGTTTATCGGCATTTGAGACTCGCCAGTCAGCTCATAGCTAACAACATCTAGGCACTCCCACCCAAGCTTCGCCTTCGTCTCCGAGTTACATACTCAAAAGACGGGTCAGAATCGGTGACGGATCAGGCCGACTGGTCCGAGCCTTGATGAGCAGCAGGATACGTTGGGAATTCATGTTTATAGAAGACACACATCAAATATTGACGCAGTAATACCTCTGAAAGTCATTGCCACAGCATCCTCTATCATCTTCAACTGTTGGTGGGCAAAATTATACTTTTTCTTCATACAATTGGAACTCTGGCCTACTTTCCATTGCACACATACCCTTTCACTGTGGTTGTCTCTCTTGCCATATGCTTCGCCCATTAGATTCAGGTTAGGAATTGACTGGATGTGATGAGCAGGTGTTCCGAGACGCCTGTAGGGTCGTACAGTAGCAAGCTTCAGACAAACACAACCCCTATGACATCGACTACCAGATTAAGATCTGTCATCACTCATTCCTACTGTAGTACCAAACATAAGGTTCAATTGATAAAACATACAAATGCTGCATTTACCCCGTTCATCGAATCAATTCTGGCCCGGTGGGACTGATCCCTTCCTGTATCGCTCCGCCTCGCGGGGAACGGAGAACAATCGCTAGAGCAAATGGCAGAGGACTCATGTATCACTCACTCCCTTATGTGGAATGTATGGGGGATATGCCGCGGGTGTATGTGTTCACCCAGCTGCGGGGCATAGCAGAAGGCTTTGGATAGCAGCAGCTCCCTGGCTTTGCCGTACAACGACCCGTATAATACAGGAGTTAGGAAAACCAGAGCGCTTTTCCTAGTTGGCGCAGTTTTTGAGGGGTGGGAAAAAGTGTCGTGTGGCTGGTCATGTGTCATCATATCCAAGGCAGCAATGATTCCATATGATGTCACGAGCATGTTCGGTATCGGATCATTAACCTGGGGTAGACTCAACATACCACAGGGTAAGGTAAGGGAAGGTATTTAGATCCACATGCCTACTGTTGTTTTCCTTGGGGGTGATGTGCAGAATTGATGTCATCTATCCTGCGTTCAGGCACCAGCCAACCTTAAACTCCCGATAGTTTTTTTCTTGTTTGACCTCAGGTGACACCAACAATAGGTAGATGACGAGTTTACAAACGAGATAGTATGAAGCAGGCCACTGACCAGTGTTCAATTTCTGTAAATGTAGATAGGTGCTATGCTATTCCTCCCAAGGTGATTCGTTAATCGTCATAATAGATATTCATCATTTGCTCCCTAGTCCTGCCCCCCAGTTCAGTATCAGTATCATATCGGTTCAAATGCATTCAGGATCAAGAGCCAGTCCGTGCGCCAACAAATGTGATGTGATCGATGTGATCAATAGATTGGAAGTCCACCGCATGCGTGATGGTGTTAGGTAATTGTCAAAAACTCTGAAAAA